AGCGGGGAGCAGCTCCCCAAGCAGCTCATGCACTTGCAGGAGGCGGTGCGCAAGAGCGTGCGCGACCACGAGGCGAAGAAGTGCGTCGTCTGGTCTCGTTCCTCCCTTCGTCCTCGCTTCTGTGTGCGTATGCTGATCAGAAGTGTGGCGAAAACCTCTGCAGGAAGCGCAAGCGCCTCGCGAAGCGGGCGGCGCAGGAGATTACGGATTCGACGCGAGAGTAGAGCCGCCTCTCCTCGCGTCCTCCTCCCCGTCCTCCTCCTCCGACCGTTCCGCTCCGCCCGACTCGATACCCTTTTTGGCTCCAGTTCCTCCGTCACCTTCGTGTTGTTGTCCCCTGTACCACTCGACCTCCCTCGCACCCACGCACGCGTTCTCGTCGCTCTCGCTTCTCTCGCCTTCTGCCTCTCCGCGGTCTCGCCTTCCCTACCTGCAGTGCCCCCCTTCACTTCGCTTCGCCCGCTCCCGCCAGCGCGTGGAATTCACTGGCTTTGCAACGACAGTCTGGCCCCCAACCAAGGGAGCGCGCGCCCTTCCCTGCTCGCCTCCCGCATCAAGCACGCGGCCTACGCCGCCTCCGCCGCCGCGGTGCGCTTCTGCACCGCGCGCCAGTACAGGTACTCGAGCGAGTGCGTCGGGCGCGCCCGCCCTGCCGGCTCGGTCGCTGCAGTGTCTGCTGCTCCGGGCGCCGAGAACCACAGGACGTCCCCGAGCGCGTCCGAGCGGAACTTTGACGCTGCGTGCGTGGTTACGAGTCAAGGCGGCGCTCTCGGCGTGAGTAGAGAAAAGCGAGGGGACGCACCGATCGAGGGCGGGAGGGGCGCGAACGACTCGTTCGCCGCAGCGAGCTCTGCAGGCGTCGGTGCGGGAGCAGCGGGGGCGTTGGCGCCCGACGGGTCGACGCCCGTCGGCGTCGCCGGGACGGGGACCTCGAGCGAGGATAGCGCGGCGAGGGCCGCGCTCGTCGACAGGTCCGACACGCTCGGTGGCGGCGCGCCGATCCCCGCAAAGGACGCCAGCGCGGCCGACGTCGCCGCGTCGACCGGGAAGGCGACGCTGCCCTCTCCGTCGTCGAACTCCATCGGCTGGGCCTCGTTCGCGCGGCCCTGGTGCTGCTGCTGCTGCGCCTCCTCAGCCTGGACCTCCTGCGCCGTCGCGGGCCTCCCGTCCTGCGAGAAGTTGTACGCCGGCGGCGCCGGCGCGCCGTCGAGCCTGCCCGGGCCCGCCACGCCACGGACGAACGGGCTCTTGACCTTGTGCAGCGAGTCGACGCGGTCGTCCGGGAACGGCTCAAAGTCGTACTCGTGGCGCCGCATCTCTTCGGGCACGCACGACGACCAGCTCTTGATCTTCTTGAACGCCTTGACGTCGTCCTTGTACCGGTACTCGCACACGTAGAGCGGCATCGAAGGGGTCCACGCGGGGGGCTTGGGTCGCCCGCGCGTGTACTTTGTGAAGAACATGACGAAGCAGCGGTCGACAAAGTCCTCGACGACGCTGCGGGTGCAGCCACGGCACGTGGTCAGTGCATGCGCTCGTGGAGCAAGAGAGGGAGACGCACTGGTCGACAAAGACGCCCGTCTTGAAGACCTCGTTCTCGTAGAACGTGCGCGATGCGGGGTGGACCGTCTCCTCGGGCTACAGGCGTATGAAAGACGAGGTCAGCTGCTGCTCGTCTTGTGGGGGAACAGGTAGATAGCGCACGCGGTAGTACCAGCAGACAGACAGGCAGCGCTGGGCCGACCTGCGCGGGGTGGTGAGACGACATCGTCAGCGTGGTTCGCAGGCCCACAGTCAGGCAGCGCGTCCGCGACGCACTCGGGACGCTTGTAGGTCTTCCAGATCTGCGCAATGATGGGCTTGCCCGGGTTGTCCGGGTTCAGGAGGTGCACCCAGTCGCCTGCGCGCCGTCCCGTGCATCTCAGTCAGCAAGAAGCACACGAGTCACCGCAGCGCGCAGAGGGACGCACCCGTCTTGAGCACCTGGCCCTTGAAGTTGATGCCATCGAGGAAGACCTTGTCCTTCGTCGTGGGGCGCGTCGTCGCGCGGCTCTTGAGGTCGCTCCCGACCGCCGCGTCGTCGCCCTTGGCGTGCTGCACATTGCCTGGCCCACCGCCGACGGAAGAGAGCGCCGCGGCATCGTCGATGGTGACGGCCGAGCGGACCGACGGGCTGACTTGCTTGGTCAGCTCTTGGTAGAGGCGCTGGGGTGGGGGGCGAGCAGGGAGAGCAAAGTTTCAGCGGGAGCGCAGAGCGAGAACGCATGGACGAGTGGCGCACCTGCAGCACCATCAGGTCACTGTAGACCGTTCCGGGGGAGTCCGGACGGATGAAGAGCTTTGCGATCGAGAAGAGGTGGTGCAGGTCCTGGTCAAACGCTTCCGGCGAGGCGTAGACGCCGCTCTTGACGTTCACCTGTCGCGTAGATGGTCAGTCGATGATCGCACATTAAGAGAGACAAGCGCACCTCGATGCCGTTGAGCGAGAGAGGGCGCTCGACGAGCTGGTAGTAGTCGGGGCGCGCCGCGCGATCCGGGACGTCGATGAGCGGCGTCGCCAGCGGGCGTCCACTGCGTGTACAATGCGCGTCAGCGCAACGGTATCCTGCAGAACCGGAAACAAGAGGGCTCACCTTGCGTCTGTGTAGTTTCGGATCTTGTCGAGGATCTCGAGGTACACTTGCGCCGGATTGGGGCCCTGCGGGGACGAACGTTGGCTCGTCAATTCGTGCCAGGCGTCTGTTGGGGTCCAGGAACGGAACGCACGACGTCACCTGACATCCAGCCCGACTCGACGTCTCCGATGGTCGGCAAGCTCGGCGCCGGCGTCCCGCTCGCTCCCTCCTCCGCCTCGGCAGGCGCGACCTCGCGTCCGCCCGTCGCCGCCGGCGCGACAGACAGGTCCCGCGACGCCGTGCCCGCAGAGGTCGAGGCTACGGGCAGGTCCGGCTGCACGGCCGGGGTCGCGGGGAGGCTGGGCATGCTCGGGAGGGGGAGGGAGGGCAGCGCGGGAGGAGGTGCAGGGGTTGCGGGGGCGCGACTGCCGCCGAGCTTGAGCGTCAGGGTGGGTGTCGAGGGAGCCGGAGAAGCGGAGGCGGAGGCGCCGTGCCGGGGGTTGACCGCCCCGGGCGTGCCGTCAACGGCAAGGGACGGGGTCGAAGGGCCAGCGAGCGCGCCCGTCAGCTTGATACGCTTCGGCTTGCGCTCGGCTTCGGGTGCGGCAGCAGATGGCGGAGGGAGAGAGCCGGGTCGAGGCAGCGACTCGAAGGGCGGGAGGGGCGGCGCACGCTCTCGCCAGAGACGCTCCATGTAGCCCTGTGGACACGCGCTTGAGGATCAGTGAGCATGCTTCGCCAAGGCAACGTTGACCAGACCAGGAAGGAGCGCACCTCGAGCTTGTCGGCGTCGGCGTAGACCATGCTCCCTTGTTCGTTGTACTCGCGCGCGTTGGCCCAGATGAGGAAGAGGTCGTACGCGACTGCCTGGGGCGACGAGTAGCTGCCGCGTTGGAGGCTCTCCTGCGGTGTCAACCGGACAAGGTTAGCTTGCTCAAGCCAGGGCGGTGCAGAGGAGGCGGGGCCGACGGCACTCGTCTCCCAACAACCCCCCAGCGCCGCACGAGCCCTTACGCGCATCGACTCACGAGGATGCCGTTGAGGCAGCGGGGCTCCTTGATGACAAGGTAGTAGTCCGGGTAGTCGTGGCGGTCGGGCAGGTCGCGAAAGATGGCCGAGTAGGCGCGCCTCATGCCGCCGCCCGCCGACGTCTCGAGGTGGTACAGGGCGTTGAGGACCTCGTTCAGGGGCTGCTGCACCTGCGGCGGGAGCGGCATGATGGGGCGTGTGTCGAGGCGGGGCCGAGATGGGGAGCCAGTCGGGAGGAGGAGGAGGAGGAGGGGAGGGGAAGGGAGAGGTCGCGCGGCGGTGAGAAGCGGTTGCTGAAGTGCAGCAGGTGCTTGCTGAGCTCGTCGAGGCTGGATGTGCTCGAGCACAGTGCGAGCAAACAGTCGCCGTCGCGATCAAGGTGTCCCGGGCCCGCGACGCTTCAGCTTCAACCTCGACCACACCGCTCCTGCACCTTGCTGGGCTCGCTGAGTGACTCTGCAGAGCCTCCACAGAAGCCCTCTGCTCAGCCTGAGAAGCCTTCTGTCACCCCACAGCTTTGCTTGCACCTCGGCCCCTCCTGTCAACTCTCTCCGCTCCGCTCGCTTAACTGGCCTCGTCGACGCATTCCGCTGATATGGGTGGCCCAGGCAGAACGTGCCTCATTGTACCACGCGTGCGAGCCCTCCAAGGACAAACAGTCGTCAGTCTGACTTGGACGCCTCGCCTCGCGCGCAACGATGGACTCGGGACTTCCACTGGCCAACGCTTCTGCAGAGTCCCACGCGCACTGGGTCTACAGGGGTACCGTGGTGCTGGTTCCGGTCGACACGTCCGGCGCCACTCGCCTGGGACTTCCTTGGCCCGGCGCATGGCCGTGGCCCCGAGCGGGAGGCTCGCACGGCACGCAGGCGCTGGTCTCCCTTCTCGTCGCTGAACGTATCCACGTTGACGTGTACTTTCCTGCAGGAGATGAAGACGCCGCCGACGCTGCAGCGCCCGAGGCGAGCCTGCTAGAGGGCACGCCTGACCCGCTCCGCTTCCGCCGTCTTGTCGCGCGTTCCTGCACCTTCGCGCTTCCCCAATGCGTTCCCCTTCCCTCGAGCGGCACTTATGAAGACCTCTGCTGCCGTGCGACCCACTCTCCGTCGCCTGTAAGTCGACAAGTTCTGAAGCCAGCAGCGTGTCGCGGACCGTGCCCACGCCGGTCGACTCCTCGGCGGTCACCAACCAAGCGAGGTGCGTCCCTCGTTCAATGTCTTCCACGTTTGCTCTGACATGCTTGGGCACGGTCAGCGGAGCTGGATCAGTCCCAAGCTGCATCAAGATTGAAAGCGCTCGGACCGCTTGGTGCGAGTGCTTGATATATACGACACATTGACTCCTTCAAACATGAGCGGCTCTTTAGCTCAGTTGGGAGAGCGACAGACTGAAGCTTGTCCTCGTGACAAGTCGCCTTCTGCAGGTCTCCGGTTCAATCCCGGAAAGGGCCACTAGCTTTTTTTGCTCCGCTGGGGGCTGCTTGGAGCAGTCTTCGCGGATCACCGTGCTTTCCTTTTGCGAAGGAATATGGGTGGGCGCCGGTGGGCCTCTCTGTGGCGGATCAGACGACGCACGGGGCCCTCTTGGCCTGTTCGCGCGCCTCCCCGAGGGTGCACCGGACGGGCCTCTCCCCTCTCTCACACGCGCCAGGCAGGGGCTCAAAGTGCTACAGAGCAGTAAGGACACGAGCGGCTGCAACAAGGTGACAGAAACGGCACGGAACGAAGTGAGGGGAGCGGGACACAGCTCCCGAGACGGCGACGAGGGACGACCTCCCTCGTGACTCTTGTGCGCACCGCCTAGCCCTGCATCTGGACATACGCGCTCGGGAAGATGCCCTTGCGCCCGTTGAGCTCGCCCTTCATCCAGTCGTCGCTCACTGCGCGCCACGAAAGAGCCGAGAGCGTCAGTCGAGTCAAGGCAGCGCGAGGGAGAGAGAAGAAGGTAAGTCGGGCGCACCGATCTCGAGGACCGTGATCCGCTCGCCCTCTGCGAAGGGCAGGTCTTCTGCCTGTGTACCGTCGAACGCGTAGAGCGCGACGGCCGTCCCGAGCCCGGCGGGCGGCGCCGGCGACGGTCGAGACGCGGCGGGAGGTGCGGGCGGAGCAGCAGCCTGGTACGGCGCGGGACTGCCCCCGCCCTGGAAGAGCGAGGCAAACTGCGGTCGCGAGGCAAAGTACTCGTCGAGGAGCGCGAAGAAGGCCTCCTTCTCGCGCTGGTCCATGCCGGAGAAGACGCCCTTGCCTCCCGCGGTGGGGGGAGCGGCGACGCCGTACGAGGACGACGCGGCGCTGCCTGCGCGACCGCGGCCAGGCGGGGGCGGCGGGCCACCTGGGCCTGCCGTCCGGGTTGGGGGAGGCGGAGGCGGAGCAGGGGCGGTGTAGGTGGCGAGGCCGGGGCTGCCTCCCGCGGGCACGGTGCCGAGCGACGACGACGAGTCTGTGCGCTTCTGGCTGCCGAGGGGGACGCGCTGGTCGAGCTGCTTGAAGCCTTGCTGGATCTGGGCGTGGCCCTTGTCGGCGAAGGACTTGGCTGCGGGGGTGGGGGTGCAGAGGAGGGTCGGGATGAGCATGACGAGGCGGGGGAGAGGGGAGGAGGGGGCTGCTCACCCTGCTTGAAAGCCGACGATGCAGAGCTGCGGGGAATCGTGGGTCAGCTGGGGTCTCTAGAAGTAGCTGGTCAAGCCGCACAATCCACTCATTGCGCGCGAGATGGGGTGGAGGGCAAGAGCAACCCTCCCCATGGCCTCCATCTCCCTCTTGCCTCCTCCCCTCCCTCACCACCTCGGGCCAATGTCGCTCGCGAGGCCACTCCTTGTCCTCCGCACTACAGTGCGCCCTGCCCGGCCCCTCGCCGCCTTTGCGCACCTGCGCCCGGCGTCGTCCTCCTCCTCGTCCCGCCCAGCAGCGGCTCCCTCGTCGTCCGACCCGCACCCGTACCTCTCTCAGCTCGACCGCGCAGGCGCCACCTCGTCCAGCAACAGCAGCTCGACCTCGGGTCCCTCGCTCGGCCCCTTCCCCCTCCCGCACCTCGAGCGCCAGGCCCGCATCGAAGAGGCCGGCCGCGAATGGCGCCAGCTGGGCGTCGGCGGCAAGGCCAAGGTCGCGGCGACTCAGGGAGCGAGCTTTGTCGTCGTCGCGTGTGGCGCGGGCCTGCTCGTCCTCGTCGCGTACGCGTTCGGGAGCGAGCTCTTCAGCGAGGCGAGCCCGACGCGCGTCTTTGAGGACTGCGTCGAGCGCGTCCGCGCAGACCACGAGGTGTGTGCTTTTCTGGTCTTGCAGTAGCCCTCCTCCATCGCTGACCGCCGAGTCGAACCCCCCCGCCTCGCCCGCAGCTGAGCACCATGCTCCCCCCGCCGCTGTCCTTCCACGGCTCGTCCTCGTCCTCGCGCATGCGCCGCAACCGCCGCATCTCCTCGTCCCTCTCCGTCGACCCGCGCACGGGGCTCGAGACCCTCTTCGTCCGCTTCTACGTCGAGGGGACCGACCCCCTCGCGGCCGAGGCCCAGGCCAACGAGACGTGGCTCGACTGGGCAAAGCGCTGGATCGGCCCCGCCGTGTGGGAGGACTCGCACCGCCCGGGGGGGTACGCCCCGCGGTTGTCGAACGGGCTGACGGAGGAGGAGGAGGAGGCTAGGCTGGAAAGGGAGCGGAGGAGGGCGGTCGAGGAGGAGAGGAGGAAGAGCTGGAGTGGGTGGGCGGCGAGCAAGGTCGGTGGGGTCGTTGGGAGCATGTTTGGCGGAGTGCACGGGCTGAGGACCGGGGCGGGTGGTGTGGACGGCGATGCAGGCGCCGCGGGGTCGGGGTTCTTCCGCCGGGCGAAGAAGCCCCGGCTCGGCGAGTACACGACGGGCGAGGTCGTCGCAGAGCTGCAGAAGGTGCGTCGCCGCGCTTCCCTCCTTCCACTATCGGAGCATTGGAAGGGGGAGTCTGACGCTGGACTCGCCCCACGCAGGATCCGGCCACGGGCCACTTCGTCTACCAACAGCTGTTCGTCGCCCTGCCCGGTGCGTCTGCGGGCATCTAGCGCTTAGGCCGCATGCTGTACACCATCGAGGCACCGCTGACCCTCGCAAGACCTCACAGACACGCGCACGCCCAACTACTACCGCCACGACATCGACACGGCAACCGTGATCCCCTCGCAGGAAAAGGGGCTCGACCGGTTCCGGTTCTGGCAGCGCACCAAGGTCGTCGTGCAGTAAAGAGTGGCTGTCGCTTCCTGGGTCCAGCGCTCGGAGCAACTCGGCGAGGAGAGAGCGCGAGTGAGAGGCTCGAGGCCGCGCTTTGGTCGCGCGCAGTCAAGTCGGTCTCTTTCCTACTTGCCCGCCGGTCACTTCTTCATTCGCTATGCTCTTGCAGTCGACAATGCCAGTACTAGTGGCGATTGGGGAGGGGGCAACGACAGCTCTGAAAACGCGCGTCCGAGCACGGCAGCGAGCAGCAGGAGCGAGCGAGATCGTCCGCGGCTCAAGTCCCCAGTCGCGCCTTCCTTCGCGAGGAGGAAGGGCAGCCGTGTCGACATCTGAGACTCTCGGGCAATCAGTTAAGGTCCGGGGAGGCGCCAGCCGCTTGCTCGCGTCGTTAGCGCAGCTCCGCGAAAGCTTGGAAGGGACGGCCTCCGAGCGCGGCAAGCCCACTCGCACACATTGCATGCGAGGACAGATTCTTCGGGCGGTGTCAAAGGCGTTCCCTCTCTGCTGCAGTTGCAAGCCATGCTGAGTCCGGTGACGCTGGTCTCTCGCCCCGTGCTGGTGCGGGAACAGAGTGTTGAGAAGCGGTGCGTGTGCCTTTGGCCCCTCCCCTCGAGCGAAAGTCGCGCCTGACGACCCTCTCGCTCCACGCCGCCCCTTGCAGGTCCCCCTTCGTGCCCTGTGCCCCTCGCTGCTGCGCCCGTGCAGCCCTCGCCACAACCACAGCCGGCAAACACGCCACACCCTCGCCTCCTCCGTCCCCACCACCCCCCGTCGTCGACGCCGGCCACCTCGTCAACCTCCGGCTCTCACTCCCCACTCCCACCACCAAGTCCGCCCAGACCGTGCGGCCCGCCTGTCCCGCACAGGTCCAGGAGCTAGCCATGCAGGACTATGATCCGCTCCACCCGGCCGCGTACGAGCCCTCGCGCCCTGCCTACCGGGGTGGGGCAGCAGCAGGGACGCACCAGCCCCACCCCGACAGCAGCCTCTCGAGCGTCGCCCCGCGGTCCCCCCTCGTGGGCTACGAACGCGACTACCGCGCACCGGGGGCCACGTCCGGCGCGGCGGCCCACGGAGGAGGCGGAGGGGCGTGGTCGGGCGCGGCGGGCGATGCGTGGGGGAACGCGGGGTCGCAGCAGCGCGCGCACGGGCAGGGACAGGGACAGGGACAGGGACAGGGCGGCATGGTACCGCGGGACGCGCGCGTCGTCGACAGCGCGGGGCAACGCAGGCCTGACGAGGGGGCGCCGCCGGGCGGGCAGGGGAGCGCGAGCGCGCAGCAGCAGCAGGCGAGGGAGGGGTTCATCCGGGTCCGGATCCTCGGGCTCGAGAGGAACAGGAGGGACCTCTATGTCAAGTTCAATGTCGAGGTGCGTTTGGGCTGTCCTCTCTCTCGCTTGGCGCGGACGGACGGCGGAGGAGGCTGACCCTGCCGCTCTACGCTCATTCCCGCCTGTTGCAGACCAACCTCCCCAACTTTCAGCATTCGAGCTGTGCGCGCTGCTCCGATGGCTATCTCGACACAATCAGACGAGCTGACCCGCCAATTGTCCACAGACCGCGCCGTCTCGCGCTCCTACAGCGAGTTCGCCTCGCTCGTCTCTGCCCTCGCCGTCACCTGTCCGCAGTCGATCGTCCCCGCCCTCCCCATCAGCCAGACCTCGGCAGCGAGCGACGACGAGGACGACCGACTCATCAAGTCGGCGTTCCAGAGGTGGGTCGTGCGGTTGACGAGCGACCCGGCCGTCATCCGTGACGACGAGACGAGGAGCTTCATCGAGAGCGACTTTGGCGTGCGTCCTCGGTCTCTGCGCCTCTCGATAGTGGCGCTCTGGCTGACCCGGGACATGCTCGACTGCAGTACACCCCTCGCGCGCGCAAGAAATCGTCCGCCCCGTCGCTCTTCTCGCGCGCGTCCCGCCTCCCAGGCGAGCTCGACGACCCTCTCACCGCCGCCAAGATCAGCATGTCGCGCCTCGAGACGGCCTTCAACGACACGTCCAAGGTGCTCGACAAGGTGTCGAAGAAGAGGCGAGAGGCGGCGACGACAGTCAGCGAGCTCGGGGACCAGCTCGAGACTTTTGCGATGGCCGAGACGTATGCGCCGCTGGCTGGTGGATTCAAGCGACTCGCGAGGACGATGAAGGTAGATGCGGACCTGCTCGCTGCGCAGGTGCGTCGACTCGTGCTCCCAACAGGCGAGGTTGGGCAACCCGGCGCTGACCTGCCCTTCCCGTACCTGCAGAGCACGAACGA